ATTTAGAAACACATTTTTTCAAATGAAATATGTTATTTTATGAGCTAAATATTAGTATTTTTTTTTATTTAAGGGGCCATTTTGGTTCCTCCTGTTTCTGTTTAGGAGGTTTTAATACTTTCTTTTGTTACTAAAGTTTGTGGTAAGGGCAGAATTTTACAGTTAGCATCAATAGGTCACCTTAACATCAGAAAACATCAAATTTCATTGACAGATAAATGATCGATCATCATAATGATGGGAGATGTTGTCATTTATTTTTAGAAAATTATTTTATTTTATCTTATTTATAAATATGTAATTTGTAAATCTTGCATTTTGCATTCTGAGGCGAGTTTGAACCATAGACTATAAAAGATTATTAAAAAAAAAACTAATATTATTATTTTAATTTTGCACCTTTTCTTTTTCACTTCTCCATTTTTTGTCAATAAACAGTTTATATTATTATTACGTATTAGTAATATTTTTTTCACAGACTTTTCAACATTTATTATTTGTTTTATTTATATTTATTTATATGATATATTTATGTATGGTTTGATCTTTAAAAATATTATTTTAAATTTTAAAATGCCAGTTCATAGGTTTATTATTAATATAAAATGTATTTAAAATGTGAAAGTATGTAATTTCTTTGACTAAATATACAGTTTCTGTATTTATTTTTGAAGCCTAAGAATGACATGTGCTTTGTGAGGTGAAATATGATCCACAGGACGTGTTTTGTGAGATTCTTGCAGACAGGAGAGTTTATTTGCACTGAAACAGATGCTGATGCTGATTTTGAGTCTTCTTGCTGCTGCGGGTTGGTTTGGTTTATTTCTGGTTGGGTTTGGTGTTTCATCCGTGACCTGGAGCACTTTCAGGGATGCATGCTTACCGCTTCTGCTTCTACATTTGTAAATGTCAGCAATATAGCTCGTGTTGTGCCGTAATGAACTATTATCAATTGGTGAAGATGTTATAGAACTTATAGGCTTTATTTATTTTCAACCCATACCAGATTGCTTTAGGTCGTACCGTCGCATTCAGTGTTTTATTTGCTGTATTAAAGGGACCATTTTGATTCCTCCCGTTTCTGTTAAGGAGGTTTTAATACTTTCTTCTGTTACTAAAGTTTGTGGTAAGGGCAGAATTTTCCAGTTAGCATCAATAGGTCACCTTAAAAAACTGAGTGAATCTCATGAAAACATCAAATTTCATAGACTGATAAATGATAGATGATCATAATGGTGATAACTGTTGTCATTTATTTTAGCCAATCATAATTTATTTTATTTTTAATTTAATTTACTTTAATTTTATGTAATTTTATTTTAAAGTTTATTTAAATTTGTATTTTTTATTTAATTTTTAAATGTAATTTTATTAGATTTTTTAATTAAATTTAATTCATTCATTTATTTTCTTGTTGGCTTTGTCCCTTTATTAATTTGGGGTCGCCACAGCATAATGAACCGCCAACTTATTCCAGCAAGTTTTTTACGCAGCGGATGCCCTTCCAGCCGCAACCCATCTCTGGAAAAATTGATTTTATCAATTTTTATTTAATTTTATTTTTATTTTATAATACATTTTGTTGTATTTTATTTTCAATTAAATTAAATTAGATTAAACTTTATTTTAAATTCAGTTTCATTTGATTAAGTTTAATTAGATTGAACTAATTAAATTAAATCTTTAATTTTAATTAAAATTGTTTTATTTTATTTGTAATTTAATTAAATCAAGTTATGTTGTATTGTATTACTTTACTTTAATTTATATTTAATTTTTTTTATTTTCAATTAATTTTATGTTATTTTGCATTATTATTATTTGAGAGGGGGTGTAAAAAATCTTTATTGATCTGAAATTAGTTTTGTTTAATGCTAAACACAATTTTTCCTGTCTATCTGATATTTGACATTTTCTGAGATTCACCTCAGTCATAAATAAATTAGTAATTCATATAAAGGCAAAAAATACGTAAGTATAAAAAAAGATGAAAAAAATGGATATGCACTTTGGATGTCCTGAGGTATTATCATCATTATGCAATCTTTCTACATAAGTCAGAAAGCATGTAATATTTCCATTTTTATTGATTCTCTTTCGGATGTCGGATATGTTTATTATTTTTATGCCGAGTGAAATTTGAATTGTTCATTCTTTTCTACTTCATGCCATACTTCAATAGTCAGTGATCCCATTAAGCACTTTTAACAGCTTTTGTTTCTACTCGCTACTGTTAGCTAGGTTTTCATTTAACTGACAATTTGTACTTTTTTATTCTATCGCAATTGGGTTAGTATGAATTATTACGTTTATTGACACCAAGCAAGAACTGTAATGAAGTTTGGCATTGTTTTTATACCAAGTTCTAAGAACATTTGGTTCCTGCTGAGTTCTGAAAACATTGTTCTTCGATTGTTCAAAATGGAATGTTTTAAAGGTGCCATATACTGCATTGGTTTAATAAGTTAAATTGTTCTCTGATATCTACAAAGTAGGTTTATGGCTTTGGTAAGATAAAAAAATTTCCAGAAACGGTTTTATAAGCTCATGTATTACTATTATTAGCTCTTATTAGGAGCCCTATTATTAGGGGTATAAAATACCCCTAGAAATCAGAAGGTCCGTGATTGACCATATATGGATCGTGTCATGAATATTAATGAGCTCCGCTCTGACATGTCACTCTTATGCTGCGTTCACACCAGATGCAGATGAAGCAATGCGAGTGATTTACTTGTTAAGTCAGGGGTCACCAATCTCGGTCCTGGAGAGCCTTTGTCCCTGCAGGGTTTAGCTCCAACTTGCCTCAACACACCTGCCTGGGTGTTCAAGTACACCTAGTAAGACCTTGATTACTTGATTAGCTTGTTCAGGTGTGTTTGATTAGGGTTAGAGCTAAAATCTGCAGGACAACAGCCTTCCAGGAGCAAGTTTGGTGACCCCTGTGTTATGTCAATGAAAAGACGTGAATAGACATCCTGTGGCACGAATGACGCAACTAGCGGGAGTACAGCGGCGCGAGATGAGTGTTTCCCACAATTGGCGATTTTACTTAGAAAATTTTAATTTCAGCGGACATTTGCACCAGGTTAACCAATCAGGAGCTTTCTCATGTAATAACAATTACAAAATAATAATAATAATAATAATAATAATTCCTTACATTTATATAGCGATTTTCTGGGCAATCAAAGCGCATTACACAATGGGGGGTCTCCTTATCCACCACCAGTGTGCAGCATCCACCTGGATGACGCGACGGCAGCCATTTTGCGCCAGACCACACACCACACACCAGCTGATTGGTCGAGAGGAGACAGAGTGATGAAGTTAATTATGATATGGGGAGGGTTAGGAGGCCATGATGGACAGAGGCCAGTGGACATATTTGGCCAGGATGCCAGGGTTAAACCCCTACTCTTTTCTGAAGGACATCCTGGGATTTTTAATGATCACAGAGAGTCAGGACCTCGGTTTAACATCTCATTCGAAAGACGGCGCTCACTGAGCAGTATAGAGTCCCCCTCACTATACTGGGGCATTAGGACCCACACAGACTGCTTTCCTCAATAACACCACTTCCGGCAGCAACCTAGCTTTCCCATGTGGTCTCCCGTCCAGGTAATGACCGGGTGCAACCCTGCTTAGCTTCAGTGGGCGACCATGCGAGAGTTGCAGAGAGCTAGCTGCCAACATGTAGGGGCATGATTTTGACGTAGCACCTGTTGTTGGTGTCCCGGGGAAAAATCCTTCTGCCGACACCAGACAACAGTTCATCCAACTGGGCTTGGCTCAGTCAGAAACACAGCTGAAAGCCTTCATGATCCAGATGTAGTTTCTGGAGGAGTTGACGAACTCACATAGATGGGTGCACCTCTGTAAGGATCTAGTGGACTCAGACACAGCGCCGAATAAATATACGCTGTTTTTCAGCCTTCCTAAAGCACATAAACACAGCTCTTCTCTCAATAAAATTCATGTTAGCCATTTAGCAGAGAAGCTAGAGTCACTGGGCAGACAGAAGCCCCACCCATGACGCAAATCTGTGTCTATTGTGAAGAGAATTTGACGCACAAATGAAACAAGTAAACTCTTATTGTTCAAGCGTCTATTTACACGCCAATATCGCGATTTGTTCACATGTTCCGCGTCTGGTGTGAACACAGCAATACTGATAAACACAGAGCATGATGTACACTGAACATGGACAAATATCAACCCAATCAGTGTAACGTTAACCTATTTTGCTTAGCAGATATGTTGAGGATAAAAGTTAAACTATAATTAAACTTGACAAAAGAGAGTGATAGAGATGTATCACATTGATTTATTGAAGCTACAGTCAAAAAAAGCACAGGCTTGAATTAATATCAGCCTCTGCATGCATACATAACATTTGAGCTGAGCGATTTGACTGATTTGACATGTGTCTGTTAAAACATATGTAATTAAATTTCACAATAAACCCAAATAATTAACAAAACATGTCACTAAACATACCTTACACCTCTTCAAAGTGGAGATAAATACAT